AAAGACCTTGGCTCAAAAAACCAAACAAAACAAAACAAAAAATCTACCAGCCCAGCTGCAGGCTGTGGGCTGGACACACCTGTCTGTTTGGAGCTCTCCCAAGTCATCCTGCCCATAGCCTTCCATCCTAGAGACCCCTCTACGCATGAGCTGGCCTTGTGTCACATAACTCATCGCCTGGCCATGGTCAGGCCGCCTGTCTCGGAAGTGCAGCCTGGTTCTCACCAGCATTATCTGTAGAGAGAAGACCCCATTGCTCATGTTCCTTCACTTGTGAAAAGGTCCAAGTTCCCTGAGCATCTCCAGACCCTCCCCGAGGCCCTGTGGTCTCCAGCCCGGTTATTTTGGCTGTTGTCTATGTGCAGTGCCCTGTGCCACCTGCTGGCTGATCCTGGAAATACACCTCATCTCCTTTGTGCTGAGAAGAAATTTGCCTATTCTGCCCATCTCCCCAACCATCCAGCTTCTGAACATCCTCTGCGGAGGGGACCCTCAAGCCTCTGTCTGCTTCCCCAGTTTCCCAACAAGGCAGGGCTCATGCAACTTGTGTTTGACTTCACACATCTCTTCCAAGACCGAAGCTGCCACCCACCTCCTATTAGGAGCCCCTGGGCTCTCTTCCTTTTAACCTCAACCCTGTCAGATCTGACAGAGCTCCCCTCAACCAGCAGCCAAGGACACCTGTGTGACATGGTCCCGGCAGCTGGCATGCATGCCTTCCACTCGGAGGCCTCCCCTGCTGTCCCCTGGATTGCAGTGCCTGGCTGTGCAGCAGGCAGCCCTCCCCTCACCCCAATCCCAGCCTAGCCACTTGCCCTCATGTTCTCACGGCTGCTTATGCTGCAGACTCCTTGCTTCCCCAGCCCAGGGCTCAGGATTGCTCTGAGCAGCTGGACCCTCCTCCTGAAGGTTGTCCCAGCTCTATGCTGAGCACCCCTCAGCAGTGCCCGTGGGGTGGCAGCCAGTGTCTACCTTAGAGCACAGAGCACAGTGAGGGGCTCAGATCTCTTCTCTGCCCAGTGCCTGATGACAGAACCTCCTGTCCCTGCAGCCACACCTCAGCCACGTGTGTGGCCACATCCCTTGGTTTCTAGCACTCTCTATCCTCTGAGGGACAGAGTAGATCTCCACTGGCAGTAGATCTCCATGGCATGCTTCCAGGGATGGCAGGAAGCACTGTCACCTCTTCCCTGCTCGCCCCACCAACAGGTTACTTACCCTGGGGTCTGGACAAGGCTGGCCTTTCTGTCCACACCTTCTGCCTGTGTGACCCCAGCTGCCCTGTTGGGCTGGGGTCACAGCCCAGCTGCTAAACAGGCAGGAAGTAGTTCGTCAGCACCGTGGCTTCGCCTCACTAGTCAGCAGGTTCAAAGCCCCGGGCACAGGTGGGTCTCTGCCCAGCCTCTTGGCTCCCTCCATGCCTCACTACCCTGCATGCCCAGAGCCAGCCAGCAGCCCTGCGCCACATCCCTCTGTGTGTGAAAGGCTTTGAGCGGACAGGGTGGCAGAAGCTGTGGGTTCTGCTCCAGCTTTGCTGCTAACCTGCTCTGAGGTCCCAGCAGTCCCTGGAATTGTTCCCCATCCACGACAGAAGGAACTGAGTCAGTGACCCTAAGGACTCTTTCCAGCACTGAGTTCTGGATTCTGAGTTCTCTTGCATTAGCTTCCTCTATGCCCTCCATCAAGAGCCAGCCCAGCCAGCTCCTGCTTCCTAACAAGGCCCCCACGGTGCTTTCTACCACTATGGCCCTCCCAAGGGCATGGCTGCACACAGAAGGCCCAAGAGCACGAATTACAAAGCAAAGCTCTCCGCCCCCACGTACTGCTTCCTGTACCACCATGTGCAAGATTTACCCAAGGGAGCAAATCCCCCCCCACACACACACTGTCTGTGAACTTGCCCCCTGCACATCAGAACCCCAAGAGTGATTTTTCAAAGACTGGTTTGCTTCAGAAAAGAATCTGACCACCTGGAAAAATGTGTAGGTACAGTCTTCCTCAGAGTCTTGTTTGAGGGGAGAGGTGGAAAGCCGGGGTCTTGCTCTCTCAGATTTCTGGTCTTTCTGCCTCAGCCTCCGGCGTACGGAGATCACATGCTGCAGGCACCATAATCCACTTTGAAGCACCATGGCTTCAGTCTCTTTATAAAGTTATGAGCCCTTTGTGAAGTCCAGTTCTGAATGACCAGAACCTGTTGTCCTACACCCTGTGTAGAGACTTCTGCCTGGCCTTTGTGGGTGCCACCTCCTAATTTCCCCTGCAAGGGGCCTGCCACTTCTGTGCCGCTGTGTAGTGACTCAGGCAGGCGCCCTAATGACAATGAGTAATGTCAGCTCAGCCCCAAGCACCCAATCCTGTGGGCAGAGGACATTTGAGCTGGGCACTGTCATGTGACCTCTGCTCAGGCACCTTCTGCCCCAGAAAGGAGGTGATGTGGTGGGGGCAGAATGAAGGATCACAGCAGAGCCAGCAGCTGCAGACCCTGTCATCTGAAGTGCTCCAAGCCACCAGTGAAGGAGGCACGGGTGACCTCCAACTTCAGGCAGCACGAGGAGGGTTCGGTGACTGGCCAAAATTCTGTCTATTCCCCTAGACACACAATGGGGGCTTTGCTCTAGTCCTGCCTGAGCCGACAGCTGAAAAAGCAGGTGCAGGCTGCTCAGGAACCTTAAGACCCATATATTGCAGGGTGCACAGAGATGAGGGTGCCCCAGTCACAGCCCTCAAGAGTTCTCAAGATTGACAAAATGACCACATCCTTGGGGCTCGAGGTTTAGCTCAGCGGCATAAGTGCCTGCCTTGCAAGCAGGCAGTCGTGATTTCGATCCCCGGTACTGATAAAAAGGAAAAAGACCAAAAAAAAAAAGACCATATCCTGAAGATGGAATTAAAAGCTCAGGCCTAGGGGGCTGGGGATTTAGCTCAGTGGCATAAGCGCCTGCCTTGCAAGCAGGCAGACGTGGGTTTGATCCCTGGTACCGATAAAAAGGAAAAAGACAAAAAAAAAAAAAAAAAAAAGCTCAGGCCTAGGAATATGCTCGGGGCATATTCCTAGTTGCCTCTATACTTTTTTGTTTTTTGAGACAGAATCTGGCTTTGTAGCCCAGACTGGCCTCAGACTCACTATCTAGTCCAGGATGGTCTTAACTAGAGGAAATCCTCCTGCCTCAGCCTCCTGAGTGCTGGGATTATAGGCCTGTGCCACCATGCCGGCTCTTGTACCTATTGTGTGACTGTGATCTCTCTGAACACCGGTTTTCTCATTATATATAGAAAGTACCAGACTAGGTTAATGTTTCTGAACTTTTCCAGCCACATTAACCTTCTCTGTATAAGCTGTTAAACCCCCACTGACAGCCTGTTTGCTGAGCAGTTCTAGTTCGGTGAAGTCCAGACTTCTCTGTTGAGTCCTCCCTTCACATTCCTTAATGCCACTTCGGACAGAGCTGGGTCATTTCCACTGTTAAAGTTTGCCCAGCTGGGTGTGACTGTCTATAATCCCAGCTACATGAGAGGCTGAGACAGGAGGATCACAAGTGTGAGGCCAGTGTGAACAGCTTGGACCCTTAGAAATCAGTTCATACAGTTTCTTCAGTGTGGCCCCCAAGGCAGCGCCCACACCCTCCCCACCCGCTTTCCTCTCCTGTGGGTTTGGCTTGGTCTGGAGCATGCACTGTGAAGAGAATGCAGTTGGCTCTTTCCTGGCACCTTTGCTCTCCTCCCCAACCGTCTCCTAGGCCTGCACACAGTTGCTGGGGCAGGGCGGAGGGAGCAGAGGAAAGGGCAGAGTCCCTTGACTGGCCAGGGTGGGCTCGGGTCCTCCTGGGCCATCCACATCCCCAGCCCTTCAGGCAGCTGCCAAGGCTGCTTGGAAGCCTTCCGGCTTTGTGCTCCATGGTCTCCAACAGTGGGGCGCCTGGGCCGGTGCTGGCCGGGTGGCTCAAGTGAGGCTGCTTTCCTTGGTGCTCACACACCCAGGACTCCCCCCACCCCTGCCCTGCCCTGCCCAGCCACTGCTGGCTGTCCTGTGCCAACTCCTTCTGTCCTGCTGACTTCTGCTGTCCCACCAGCCACAAATGCAAAGCAGTGAGGCCTCTTCAGAAGGAGATGCCCAGCCAGGGACCAGGAGGTCACATCCGTGCTCTGGGGTCCCTGTGAATATTTGAGCAGCTCCTTTAAATGCCCCTCATTTGGCCTGGGTAGGGGTTGGGGACCACCTGAGCCTCTGTAGGGAGGAAAAACCCGAGCACTTCCCCAAGTCAGAGTTTGCTTGTGCCAGCGATTCTCAATCCCTACTGTGTGATAGAGTTGTGAAACACTAACCAAGAGCTGCCAGCATGCTGGATCCCACAGGGAGGCAAATGACTTCAGGAAGGGGCCTGAGAATATTTCTGTAAAGCTGTTGAGATCATCAAGAGCAGCCAGGGCTAGGAAGCACTTTCCTATCCCAATAACAGATCCCACTGAATGGTGGAAGGGGGGCCTGTTAGGCCTGATGAAGGCCCACGAGGGGCTGGGGTGTCCCTTTATAAAAGGGGGAGGAGACTGGTCCCCTTAGCTCTAGGGCTTTGGTCACAATGGGAAGGTACCCAAAGAGTTCCTATTTAACACCCTAGTACCAATGCTTTGCAAACTGATCTTAGCCACCAGCCTCTTCTTTTCATAAAATCTTGCCAGAGTCCCATAAGTCACATATTAGGAAATTGGAGGAAGCACAGATGAGCCCTGGTTCGGAACTTTGCCAGCAGTCTCAGGACCTGCCCTGGATGCAGTGACTCCTCAGGTCCCGCCAGCCCCCTCTGTGAAGCTGTTGCTATGTTAGCTTGAAGGGATGGATGGAGGAGCCAGGGATGGAGCCAGGAGCAGGGGCAGAGGCGGGGCAGGCCCAGAGCATGCAAAGCAAGGGGAGCAGGTTGGGGGCTGGGGGTGACTGCCAAGAAAGGCCGTCCCTAGGCTTGAGCCCCCAGAAATATGTGCTCCTCCCCTGTGGCCCTGAACAGGGGGAACTGGAGCAGTCATGGCCTCACGACCTACAGCCACCACCCCTGCCACGGCAGCATGAGGACAGGCAGCAGGACAAGTCCACTGGGGATGATGGGCCCGCCACGGAGCCCCTCTCAAAGGTTTTGGACACTCCTCTGAGTGAAGGCGACGAGCCCACAACGCTGCCAGCCCAGCTGGACCACGGGCACAGTGTGCAGATGGAGGGCTATCTGGGCCGAAAGCACGACCTGGAGGGGCCCAACAAGAAGGCATCCAACAGGTGTGTGGGGAGGGGCTGCGCCCAGGGCAGCTACACCAGCAGAGCCTTGGTGACATGGAAGAGTTCTGGGGCACCCCAGGTCAGCTGGGGGGTGCCTGGCATTGTAGGGAAAGACTGTCTCGGCTCTGTCACGGGCAGGGCTACACATACATCACTCAACCTCCACTTCCCCATTTGTAAAATGAGGACGATGACAACTGTGGGCCTTGGTCACGCAGGCTGTGTGCCTGGCACTCGGTAGGCCCTTGCAGCTGTTGATGGCCCAGTTACTTGGCCAGGGCTTGACCAAGCCCTGCTTATACTGATCCAGACCTCAGTTTGCTCTGCTGTAAAATGGCCATGACTTAGATGCCTTTGAGATGGGATTTGTGCAAATCTGTTTCTTTACAGAGTACTGAGACAATACACTGGGCATAAATCATTTAAACAAAAATCACATTCATCAGGCAAACCCAACTCTGTTCAGTTCTTTCCACAGTTCTATAGTGAGAAACAAGTACCTCATGAGTATAGAAATACTTCAGAAAGTTAAGTTTATATGTTTGCCTTAAAACTGTATAATTCTTTTTCTAGAAATGTATCTCAACTTAAAAGCAGAATTAAAGGCAAAGATTTATAAATAGGAACATTAATCACATTGCTGTTTAAATTGTACATAAATTTTCCAGCATTATAAGGTCCACCAACAAAGGTACTGTGTGTGTGATGGGAAATCACAAAACTGTTTTTAAGAAATATTTGAAGATACAGGGGTGATCAGAATATATGAGCCAGGTGTGATAGTGTATGCCTGTAACCCCAGCACTCTGAAGGCTGAGGCAGGAGAATTCCCTCTAGTTTGAGGCCGGCCTCACTATGTGGCGAGACCCTGTCTCAAAAAATCAAAACAAAACAAAACACTCCCCCTTGTTTCAAACACACCTATCCCATCAGTCTGCCAGAGTCCTCTTCTATGAGTGTCTTTATGAGATGTGATAAAAAATACAGTGAATCTGCTGCCAAGTCCCGTCCCATGGGAAGGCAGGCTCGTGAAACATTAGAGTGGCCTCACCCACCTCATTCACCAGATCCTGCACCATGTAACCAGGAATGACCTCGAAAAATAAACATTGTAAACCAACCAGGACACTGAGGCAGCCTCAACAGCCCAACTAGTGACACAAACGAGTCTTATATAAACAATACTCATAGTGTTAAGCTTGAAGTCTGCACTAGCTCAGTGTGGTAGCACTTCCCTGAAGGCTAAGGCAAGGAGGGTCACAAGCCCAAAGCCAGCCTGGACAACTTGGCAGCTTAGGCTTTATCTCAAAATTTAAAAAAATTAAAATGTAGCTCAGTATTAAGAGCACCCTTGGGTTTAATCCCCCAGGAGGACCCCCCCCCCAAAAAAAAAAGAAATTAAAAAACCCCAAATAAACAAAGCAGGGTATAAAATACAGGACTAGGAGTCAAGGGTAGCTCAAGGGTAGAACATGGGCTGTGTGTGCATGATCAAGGCCCTGGGCTGACACCAAGCAACACACACACACATACACACACACACACTGGACACACGGTGCAACGTGATTGTTAAAAATAACATGCTTTTTTTTGTATTCTCCCCCAACTCTTCCAGTACTAGGATTGAACCCTGGGCCTTTTTTCATTTTTATGTTGAAACAGGAACTTGCTAAGTCATTAAGTTGCCGAAGAAGGGCTCAAACTTGTGATCCTTCTGCTTCAGCCTCCCAAGCACTGGGTTTACAGGTGTGAGCTGCCCATGCCTGGCTTTAAACTACCCAGATGTAAAAATGTCTTACTCTTCCTTGTAACTTTTTTTTTGGTACCGGGGACCGAGCTCACAACCTTGCGTTTGCCAGGTGGGCACTTGTACTGCTGAGCTATATCCTCGGCCCATGTGTGTTACTCTTCATGAGGGCAAAAATGAAGCAATTAAAAGAAACCATTTGGACTGTGAGTGACGTGCCTGTCCCCATCTCATAGGTCCTGGAACAACCTCTACTGCGTGCTCAGGAACAGTGAGCTGACCTTCTACAAGGATGCCAAGAATCTGGCTCTAGGGGTGCCCTACCATGGGGAAGAGCCCCTGGCCCTGAGGCACGCCATCTGCGAGGTCGCGGCCAACTACAAGAAGAAGAAGCACGTCTTCAAGCTGAGGTGAGCCTCCTGCCCTGGAGCCCTTACCCCCGCAGGCACAGGGGCCGAGCGGAGGCCCACACAGGACCAGCTGGCCTGAGCTGCTGCTTACAGTTTCATATCTGCAGGCTCTGGCCTCTCAGAAAGTGCTGTGCTGGCTCAAGGGGCCTGGGATTCGGCTGGGGGATGACTGGGTCCCAGCTGAGGGCGTACCCATGACAGGAAACCCTTTGTCCTAGGCTGAGCAATGGCAGTGAGTGGCTCTTCCACGGCAAGGACGAGGTAAGTGCCCAGGGGCCCGGCCCACAGGAGGGGCAGCTGGAGACCCCACCTGGGGTGGTTCTGATTCTCTGGCCCCGCAGGAGGAGATGCTGTCCTGGCTGCAGGGCGTGAGCACAGCCATCAACGAGTCCCAGAGCATCCGAGTCAAGGCCCAGAGTCTGCCCCTGCCCTCCATCACAGGGCCTGAGGTCAGCCTCGGCAAGAAGGACAAGGAGAAGAGATTCAGCTTCTTCCCCAAAAAGAAGTAGCAGCGGGCAGCCCCAAGGGAGGGACATGCAGGGACCTGGGCTGCACCGCTGTCCCCGCCTACACCTGCCCTGCTCACCGCCTGTGGGGCCCCTCTGCACTGCGCCCCAGCACACCTGTCTGCCCCAGCTGGTGGGCTCTCCTAGTCCCCCAAAACTGGAGCAGGCAATGGGGCTCCTCGAGCTGCCCACTCCCCAGCAAGCCCTGCTGGGTTACGCCCACCCAGCCATAGCCAAAGGGAAAGGGAAGCGGGACCTGGGCTGACTGACCTGTCTCCGAGGGTCAGGGTGCTGCTAGGGACTGAGGGAACAAGGGATGCGGGCCTGGGGTCAGTCAGTGACCTCCCCACTGGGCTTCCTCAGAACGGGACATGGTCCTCAGGGCCTGCATGCCCTTCCTCTCTCCTCACCTGAGGCAGAGCCCCCTGCCCTCGTTTAGTGGGTCCTAAAGGAAGAGCCTTCTGCTGCCCCAGCACTCGTGGGAGGAAGGACCAGCAGCCCTCAAACCACTCCTCCGGGAGCCCTGGTTAGAGCTCAGGGCTCCAGGCTCGGAGGAGAAGCAGGGCCAGACAGGTCCCAACACTGACTGCTGGAGGCTCTGCCTCTGGCCACACCTAGTAGCAGCTGAGCCAGCAGAGGCAGGGTCCCCAGGGAGCAGTGCAGGCCCCTGATGCAATAGAGGTACCCCAGTGCTGGGGCAAAGCCTCCCAGAGAGCCAGATGCCTGCTGTGTCCTGCCTGTCTGCATCCGATACCACCCAGGAGTACTAACTGGGCAGAGGGCAGAGTTCCCACTCGGTGTGGTGAATGTGGCCACTCCTAGGTATCGCCATCATGCAACAAGTCTACCATGAACAACTAGGACTAATGCTGGGGCCAGAGCAGTAGGAATGGCCCTTCTTGATCAGCTTCTCCTGCAGGCCTGGTCTGGAGTACTGGGGGTCACACACAGAGGTCACTGAACATCTACCACCCCTATATCTGAGCACCAAAAGGGATGCTTCTTTTGGTGGGAGCACAGGGAGAGACGTCCCCGTGCTTCTGAAAGGGGATCCACTGGACCCGTTAGTGCTGACGGGGCTCCACAAGGACTTTCCCCGATACTACTCTTGAAGGCAGTAGAGGTCCAGCAGACACCTTCACTAGGCCATAGCCAAGACAGGCCACACTGGGGCAGCAGGTATCTGCCGAGGGAGAGTCATAAGGGTCCCCAAGGCCCACAGCCAGTTTCTGTGACCTCCCCATGGGAAGGAGCCTTGGCTGTGTGAATCAGGCCGAAAGGAGAGACAGTGGGAGACATCCAGTTATGAGGCCTCTCAGGTGATCTTACTGCTGGCATGGACTGCAGCCCCAACACCATCAGTGACACCAACTCCAGCAGACAGGAAGCACAGGAGGGGAAAGCTCGAGTGGAACTGGCATCCCCAGGCCGGGTGTTTCACCTCCATAGCCAGGGTCTTCATTTGGCTGCAACTGCAGGACCCTGTAGCCCCCTGCTGCTACAGGGAAGCACATCTGTAGTGTTTGCCAGCCTTTCTCAGCCAGAAAAGCAGGGCAAGAGGCAAGGAGGTGACTGCAGTCCCGACAGTGCATTTGAGAGCACTGTCCATCCCCGGGGCAGACAGGGCTTCTCGCTGCAAGGTGGAAGGTAGCAAGCAGCTCTGGTGACTATTCCCCTGGGCCAGTCTTTAGGGAGCCACAGTCCACCTCTCCCCTCCAAATGTGCCCAAGTAGCACCTGAAGTGATGCATCTCCAGCAGGTAACAGCACAGAGCAAGAAATCGGGCTCCAATGGAAAGCTAGGATTTCACCACCCCAAGTCCCACCAGATTGAGCAAGGGCAGCCAGCTGCATGTGACCCATCATGTCCCGCCAGCTTCCCATGCATCATACCCACGTCACCCAGGCCCCAAGACACTCGACCAACTGGACTGACACTGCAGGAACCCACCCCTGGGAGACCCTGTGCCACTCTAGGGCAAGGCTCTCCTGGTGCCTCAGCAAGGGATCTTGTTCTTCCTTCCTGCCCTCCTCACGTTTTCTACTCTGCAGTCTTTTCCCTACAGTATTCCCAAACTCTGTTGGCACAGCTCCAGTCCACACCAGCATAACGGGCTTCCTTCCCGAGCGGGTCTAGAGGAAGCTGCTCCGGGCATGGCCAGGCAGTCCTTCCCGCTCTCCTTCCTTGTCTCTGGCCTCAGCTGACTCTGGCTGAGGGTGGAACTGGAGGCATCTGGGGCTCCCGGCCCCACCGACTTCCACCAGTGAGTGCATCACACAGGAGACCTGTGTTGGCTCGGCTTCCCTCCACCTGACTCCTGTCTGCATACGGAAGCACAGCCGAGTCCCCTAGGCCGATCCTAGGTCCCCTTCCTCCTTCAGTGGGAGGAGGCAGGGATGCAGAGGATGAGGTCAGCAGGTCACATGGCTTAGTCCCTTGGTCAAGCAAGCTCAGGGAGGTTGCAAAAGAGGTGACCACAGAGGAATACACCCCTGTTGGACGGACCATGTCATCTGGGGCTGGCTCTAGGGCCAGCTGGGCCTCATCCTCCACCTGCTCAAATGTGCTTCCACAACCAGAGGACACTCATTTACTAGTTTTTCTAATAAATCAATAACGCTCTACATTTGTCTGCTTCTTGAGTAGCCTGGTTTCTCTCTGCACAGAGCCTTGGAGGGCTGACACCAGGAGACTGACAGCCAGACTCTGGCTTGTTTCCGTGAGTCTTAGGACGCTGCAACTGCACAGGCTGAGCCCCCTGAGGCCCAGAGACAAACTCCATCCTCTGTGCTGATCAAGCGGAGGGCCTGCTGCAGGGCAAAACCACTGCCAAACAAAGCTCCAACCAGGCCTTTGCCCTGGGAGTTCCAGACAGAGATTCCGGCCCTCACTGGACATCAGAGTCCCCAGTTCTGTGCCTGGGGACCCCTCTGCAGAGGTGCAGTTTCATGTGGCCTGGATGGATGAATCATAGGCGCTGCCCCCCTTCAAGAGGCCCCCAGGGGATCTGAGGGGCAGCCAGTGAGAATGGCGGCCCTGTCCCAAGGTCCCACAGGGGTGTGGGCATGATAAAGGAGAGAGTTGGTCAGCAGCAACTATCTGATCCCATCCCCAGAAGGGCAGTCAGGGGGATTGAGAGCAACCACTCCTCTGTAGATAAGAAAAGGCACGAGTTGGGGTGACTCAGCTGACTACTGGCAAGGCTGGGACAAGAATCTGGGTCACCTGTCCATGTGCTTGTGGTACCCAGCATTGTGTCCTGGGACTCACCTGGTAGGAGCCAGGTGTGTCTCAATGCCTGTGGAAGTGACCACAGAAGACACAGGGCAAAGATGGACGTGATGGAGCCTGCCTGTCATTCCAGCCCGAGGTAGGAGGGCCATGAGGTTATAATGAGAGTTCAAAGCCAGCCTGGACTGCAGAGTGAGACCCTGTCTCAAGCAAACGCAAATAAACAAAACGCAGGGCAGCTGGCAGAACACAGAGGAGCTCTGCCACATTGTGTCTGCACCAGAGAGCGCCACTCACCTCCAATCTTCCCTTCACCTCTGAGGCTCAGTGGACGCGTCCAGGCCGATGGGTCAGAAGACTCAGAGGCCCTAACTCTGCACAGCTGCAGGGAAACTTACCGACCACTCTACCACCTGGGCCCTGCAGCCCCTCCCTTCTTGGCAGCAGCCAGAACAAACCACGCAAAACCAGGCATGGAGAGAGCACAAAATCCAACTAGAAAACAGGCATTCCTGGCCCTTTTGAATCACAGATCTTCTCCCCTGTAGTATGGAGGCTTAAATCCTAGCAGTGTTACTCCAGGGTAATCAAAATATATAATGAACGTTTAATTTTATAAAACATTATTACAATAAAAGACACATTCCTATTAATCCCTCTCAAAATACCATCGCTTATGGGGTCAGGGATTTAGCTCGGTGGCATAAGCACCTGCCTGGCAAGTGCGAGGTTGTGAGTTTGATCCCCAGTACCAAAAAAAAAAAATACTGTCCCTTGCTTCAAACATACTTTTCCCATCATTCTTACATTTTGTTTTTTTGTTTGTTTTTGGTCTTTTTGAGACAGGGTCTCCCTATGGAGTTCAGGCTGGTGTTTGGTCTCACTTTGCAGCCCAGGCTGGTCTCGAAATTGCAGCAACCCTCCTGCCTCTGCCTCCCAAGTACTGGGATTAGAGAGGTGTGCCACCATGCCTGGCCTCTTCCCACTGTCTGCAGCAGTTCTGGAAGTCCTCTTTCATGAATGTGTTTATAAGTTATGATTTAAAATACAGTGACTGGTATGGCCCCAACCATCCAACAGGAAGGTGACTCACAAACACATCACATGTGTCCTCACCCCTCTTATTCACTGGTCCTGGTAAGCTGTGCAACTTCTGGCTCTTCCGCAGAGTCAAAATGGTAAACATTTTGAAGGGACTCTGGACGTGAAGGCAGCCATGACAGTGGAACTAAAGGAGGACTCAGGGAGGACTTCCAGAACTGCCCAGAGAATGATGGGGTGAGCTTGAGTTTTGGAGGAGGAGCGGTAATGTGCCTTTCACTGTAACCACTTTTTAAAAAATCTTTTACCATCACAGTATTCTACAATCGCACGCTCTACACATCCCCAGCCCTTTTTATTTTTTATTCTGAGACAGGATCTTGCTAAATTGCCCAGGCTGGCCCCCAGGAAACTTCTGTTTCTGGAGCCTGGATGATGGATGAATGGATGAATGAATGAGAACCAACACTTCACTCCCCCTAAGACATTCCTGGCCCACGAGCGACACCTCCCCTCCAGGAAGAAGGCCACACACAAGTCAGTTGGTCAGCAGTGGTTATTGCACCATTGGCAAATAATGAAACGTGTGTACATTAGCGACAACAGCAGGATCAGCAACAACTCTCCAAAGTACCTGCGCCAAATCCGTTACATTCTTCACAGGAGAGGAATAAACAACACACACACACACACACACACACACACACACACACACACCACAGGATGAAAAGCAATAAATTATTTATCAGCCTCCTCTCTGCCCAAGTCCTAAGAAGAGGCACAGTTAAAGAGTAAAGCCTGCCCAAGCCACTTCCAGGATCTCCCCTGTCCTCAGCCTGGCAGTGACCAGCCAAAGCCAGAGGCTGGGCAGGGCTTCCTCTCCCTGGGCAGAGGCGAGCTTAAATATCTGGCTTCTTACCAGAGGAGAACTATTTACAAGGTAGGTGGCCACACCAGTCTGGGCCAGAGAAAGTTAACACAAACCCTGGGGTGTGCCAGCCACACCTCATACTACTGCCTCCTTCCAGGGCAGCAGAAGGGACAGTCTCTGTGGACATGTCAGGTTCTTCTCCATCTCCAACATGGCTCCTCCGTCCCACAGGACTCAGTCAACCCACAGAATTCAAAGCCTGGAATTTTTCTCTCAAGTTTCTCACTCGGCCCTGCTTGGTTGGGTCTGCCAGTTCCTTGGCACCGTTTTCCTTCAGCCAATACGCTGACAAGTCCTGGGAATCTTGGCCCTGTCCCTCCTGGGCCTCGGGTGAACTCGGTCCCTGTGTACTGCCCTCCTCCTTGGGCCCTGCAGTGGGGCTGGGAAGGGGCCTCTTCTCCAGGACAATCACGCGCTGGTTGTTGTCCAGGGTGAGGTCTGCAGTGACGTACAGGGCTTCTCCATTCAGCCCGCTCTGGTTCTGCAGCTCAGGAGGCATGGGCTGGGCATCCGCTCCACCTTCCTGGCTCCTCCTTGTGCGCAGGCTGCTGCAACGGCCCACCCTGCCCACCACAGGCGGCTGCACCATGTTCTCAGGCACTGAGCGACTCCGATTGACTGGCAGGGGACGGGGCCGGCTGCTCTCACTCTGGGCTGCCCCGTCACGAGCATACTTGGAGCAGAGCTCACGGACATCAGGCCAGTGGAAGGTCTCAGCATCCAAGGGGCTGAGGGGGCTCCGGGTGGAAAGCCGGGTGCCTGGAGAGGTGGTCCTCGCACTGGCCGCAGGGGGACTGAAGGAGAAGCGTCGTGGTGATGTCTCCCCCGCAGAGTAGGATTTGGGAGGGCTGTACTCCTGGGCCACCAGTGGCTCACAGCTGAACAGGGACAGCCCAGGCTTCCTCTGGCCTGTGAGGAGAGAAAAGGCTGCATGAATTGCTGTGCAAGAGGGCACAGCCAGGGAAAGAGGCTTCTGTCCCTGTTCTCAGGCTCACACTCCAGGCAAGACTGCTTTTGCATGTGAAGAAAGAGAAATCCAATCTACCACCCACTGCCCCTTTGTAAAGAGGGATTGGAAGAATGGAAAAAAAAAAAAAAAAATAGCAGTGAGGGGAAGGAGCCAGGGATCAAAGTGGGGGACAAGAGGCTGTGTTTCTGCTCCTCCAATGGGTAGAACACTGACAGGGCTCTACTGAGTGCAGGGCTGGCCTCAGGGTGTTAGACTGGCTGCCAGGGCTCACCCCTCTCTTTGGTATGACCTTGTCCCCAGCCCCATACTAGTGCTCTACTGCTGAGCTACACCCCTATCCAGGGCAGAACCTCTTTGAAAGTCACGTCCCCCAGGGGCAATGGCTACTAACTGACTTTTCCTAGACCTGCCGTTCCACCATACCTTTGCCGTCAGACAGCTCCGCAGACTCCTCGTGCAGGCAGGGAATGGTGGAGTTCTTTCCATCTGTATCTGGAGCCGCATTCTCCCACTGTGGCGATGGTCTGGTCGGTGTTGACTTGATATTCTTGATCCGGAGGCTGTACTGGCGGGCCAGCTGGTAGACTTTGTTCTTGACGCGCTCACTCACGTGGCCGTCCATCACATGGGACAGCTGCACGATGCGTGGGTGCAGCGGGGTGACCAGCTCCCCCTGGGCCCCACTGCTCAGCTCCCTCACCAGCTCCTTCAGCTCCCGGGCCAGGCAGGCTTGGCTGGGCTGCTCAGTGGGTGAAGCACTTTCCGGAGAGGCGGTGACCGACTCCTCAGTGATGGCCCCCAGCTCATGTTCCTCCAGGATAAAGAGCGGCTCCTGTAGGTCAAACCCATTGGCCTGACCCTGACCTGGCCCAAGCGGGTGGTTTTGCTCAGCAGACTCCATTCTCTCCCACATCTTAACAATTTCTGATGACGGGCGGAACTCAGCATCTGTGACAGGGGCTGGGTCCTCTATGGCCACCTGTTTGGGCCCTGGGAGGTCAAACAAAGCCCACGATGCCACCTTTGAGCTCGCCTGTCTCTTGTACCCTGCTGGAGCTGCTGGCTTCAGGTCTGGCCCTGGAAGGTTGTTGATCCTGGAAACGGAGCTCCTCACCAGTCCTTTAGGGATGTAAGAGAGACTCTCCCGGCGCCGGACACTGAAGCCTGCATCATGATGCTCTGCGTTCTCATAGTAGCTCTTAATTTTATCCAGCAAAAGCCGATCTCGGGTGGAGAGAGCTGATTCTTTCTTGCAGGAAGATCTGTCAGGCTCCCCCGGGCAGCCTGCATTTGGGGTCTCTGTCCCAGTGGCAGCAAGGCCACTGTCTGTGGCCATCCCTGTGTTGATGCCCACTTCTGGGGCACACTGGGAACCCAGGGAATCTGTCGTGCTGCCCCACCGAGCCAGGCCCTTCTCACTGCCCTCCAGGCTGAGCACGCTACTGCTCCGGCTGACCAGGCGCGGTGTCCCGAAGCCACTCGACTTGCCATTGCCATCCTCCAGGGACAAGCTGCTGCACCTGGAGAAGCTGCTGACGAACCGCTCAGCAATGACGCTGGCCTGGTCTAGCACAGAGGGTGGCAACAGGCTCTCAGGCTCCTGGGCTGCCCCCACCTCCTCCTCCTCACTGCTCAGGGCCTTAAGGTCCTCAGTGCTCTCAGCCCCCACAAAGTCCACCATGTCCACCGGGGGGTCCATCCCCAGGAGCTCCTGGTGGGTGTCAAGTTCTATTTGCGGGACATCCGGTGGCTCTGTTTCTGAGGGGATCTCCTCGGTGCCAGGGCCTTTCGTGGCAGCAAAGACCTCCTGCTCAGCCCCAGGATCTGGGTCTGCTTCAGCCTGAGACAGCAGAGAGAGCTCACATGAGTAAAAAGCCTTCTTCACAAGACCTGGCAGTGTAAGCAGGGAGTGGTGGCTCATGCCTGTAATCCCAGCACTTGGGAGGCTGAGGCAGAAGGATCGTTGCAAGTTCGAAACCAGCCTGGGCTACAAAGTGAGTTCAAGGCCAGCCTGAACTGCATAGTATGAGATCCTGTCTCAAAAAAGACAAAACAAACAAACACAAAAAAACAAAACCTGGCAGTGAGGAAGGCATAGCCAGCTCACGGTGCAGCGAGGAGCCTTGCAGTTTAGGGCCAAAAGCAAGCAGGATGAGTGACTTAAAAGTAGGGCGACAGGCCCTGAGAGAGAAAATGCTCCTGTTCTTCAATTACTCTGCAGCTGGGGAGTGAGCCCCCGGCCTCACGGCCAAGGAAAACCCTAGAGCAGAGGAGGACAGTGGGACCTCTCGGTGGCAGCCTGCCTGGGAGCTACTGGCACAGGGTGAGAGCATACGACACCAGGCTAGGCACTACCCCGGTACCCAGGGAATGGCTCTCACAGGCACCTCGAGTCACGGCACCTGTATGTCCCTGCCTGATGGCAAGGCAGCTCCTGAAAGCCTAAACGGCTCAGGAGCTAAAGCCTAAACCCAGGCTTGAGCCCCACAAAAGGATACCTCAGCTTCCCCATGCTTGTGGGAGCAGGGCCCTAGGGCAACACAGCACGTGCTGTCACCACAGAAGTCAGGGCAGGAAAACCAGCTCCAGCCAGCCAGCCTCCATCCATAGGTCCCACAGAGACCAAAGAAAGCGCATCTGAAAACTCCCTCTGGACCACCTCAGAGGTAATTTGAGCCATTACCTGGCTGGCACAGCTTTCTAGAGAGGTGCTTAGGGAAAAGAGCGAACAGTCTAAATTCTGAGGAATCAGACCTGATTCCATTACTTCTAATCCAAAACCTGCAGTGCAGACTCATGAGCTAGGCTGCCACTATCCGACACAGTAACTACCAGTATTGTGAACAACTCCAGCACGGCCAGTTCGAATCAAGACCTGCCGGAAGAGTAGCACACACATCAAATCTCAAAGACTTTGTATGAAAGAAGGGATATGACCAGGTGTGGTAGCATACACCTGTAATCCCAGCACTTAGGAGGCAGAAGCAGGAGGATCACTGTAGTCTGAGGCCAAGTTAGGCTACAAAGTGAGTTGAAGGCCAGCCTGAACTGCACAGTGAAATCCTGTCTCAAAAAGACAAAAAAAAAAAGGACCTATGGGATCAAAGAAAATATACTAGAATTAATTTCATCTGTTTATCTTTTTTTTTTTAATATGGCCACCAGAAAATTTAAATTACACATGGGGCCTGCGTTCTAGTATCATAGGGCAACACTGCTTGCCCTATGATGGTGTCCCCACCATGACCATGCATGTTAGAACCTGACATCCAATGTGACAGGATGAAGCAGCAGGACCTTTGAAGTCAGGACTAAGTCACAAATGGGATTAGTGACTTGTAAGAAAGCCTGGCTGGTGCCCTCATTCTGGACTTCTCAGCCTCCAGCACTAGCAATATATTTCTGTTTTCATAAACTCCCAGTCTAAGAGGTAGCTGCTTCAACAACCTACAGCGCCAAGCTTCATTCTTATCCAGTGCCATCTAGATTCTCAGGATTGTCCTGCCTGTGACATGTACCCTGGGATCTGGCCTGAGCTCCCAACCTGATCCTTATAATGTGAAAAAAAGCAAAGCACTCACTCAACAGCACACGCTACCAACAGCACAGAGCAGCAGGAAATGGAGAGGGGGTCTCTGAGTCAGAGACCCAGGTTTGATTTCAGCTCTGCCCTCGGTGCCAGGCCCTCCATTCAACCTCTCAGAGCCTCTTTTTCCTTCTAGAGATGTTGCATCGAGCCAAAGAGATAAAACATCAGGCATGCAGGAGGTGTTCGATCAATACTGACAGCCTTCCCCTTTGACAGGTGGCTGCAGGCCTGATTGAAGTCTAGCTGGCAGGCAGAGCTGGGGTCTTGTGCCCTGTCCAAAGCTGCCTGGCTGAGGGGCATAAAACCTGGTGCACTAGGGCTGGGGATTTAGCTCAGTGGCATAAGCGCCTGCCTTGCAAGCAGGCAGTCGTGAGTTCAATCCCCGGTACCGATAAAAAGAAAAAGACAAAAAAAAAAAAAAAACCTGGTGCACTTCCACTAGTTGTGACCCTTGGCATCGCCTGCAGCTAATCTAAGGAAGGAACGCCTTTTTCTAACTCATGGAAAGATGTCAACTCACTAAACCACATACATACCCAAGCCCGCAAAGGCTTCCCAAAGAGGCAAGAGCCCCAGTGGTCCCAGAGAGACACCCCAGGCCTCAAAGACCTGCCTGCTGGCCTGGAACTGGGCTTCAGCCACCCCTGCACTAACTCCACCCCACCCGCCATCCGCTCACCTCTGGCAGGGAAGAGACAGACTCAAAGCTCATGCGCTTCCCAGCACTGGTTGGAGACCGGTTGCTGGGCCTTCTGCAGCTCTTGGTACTTTCAGACTCCCGGTGTCCCTTTCCCTGCAGCAGGCAGAGGGCAGCGTCAGCTCCAGGACAATCAGGAGCTGGTCCCTTCTGCGTTCCAACATGGGCAGCACCTCCCACACCCCACATCTGTGCCGAGCCAGTTCTGGACCTGAGCTATTCCAGTGCAAGCTGAACGGCCAGCCTGGGGCTGCAGGAATCCATGCAGGTATGAGAGGCCCAGCCTGCCCTTCCTTCAGGGCCAAGGGGACAAGCTCTCTCCTATCCCTGCCATGCCACCGCCCCAGCCCAACTCGTCCTCCTCAGGGGTGGTGTACTAGTTAGTGCCCAGTCCTGGGGGAGTGCATGCCAGGGGCTTACCAGGGCGTGACAGTGAGTGAGGAGTTAAGAAGTGCTGACAGGAGTGAAGGAGCAGGCAGGGCAGGGAGGGGACAAGAAAGGACTCTTGGATGGGCATGCACAGGCCGGGGAACATGCAAGGAGGGGGGGAGATCAAAGAGACACCTCACCATAGCACCCCGGGAGAAAAGTAAAGCGTTGGCCCGATAGTGCCAGCAGTAGAGGGCGGCCAGCAGGGAGCTGGCAAAGTCGGCTACCTGCTCTGCCACTGCCAGACTCTCCTCCACCTCCACTTCCTCATCCTCCTCCTCTGATCCTGGGGGCTCTGGCCTGGCCCCCTTCTTGCTGCCTCCATGCCCTGCCAGGTCCTCCAGAGAGACAGGAAAAGCCTGCTCCTCCTCTTCCTCCTCCTCCTCTTCTTCCACCACTTCCTCCTCTTCTTCCTCCTCTTCCTCCTCCTCTCCGGCCACTCCCTCAGCCTCAGGCTGCAGGCCCCGCGTCTGGGATGGCCGCCCAAAGTCCAGGAGGGCGCCAGCACTGCCTGCATGCTGTTCAGAGCACAAGACACCATCGTGACCCACCTGCTGGGGAACATCCCCCTTCTGCAGGCCCGGTGGGGGCCACTGTGCAGAGGCTATGCCTAGGCACCCAACCCGGGGCTCCCCTGGCATCTGCTGAGGAATGGGGCATTTCATGGGGGAAGGCTGGGTCCTGGTCAGAGCATAGGCCCAGGAGAGGGAAAATGTGAGGTCAGTGCTGGGCGGGCACCCCAGGGTATGGTGCCAGGAAGAGGGTAGAGGGGGTCCCCGTGATGAGAGCCATCATAATCTCTGCTACCCTCACGCCAGAGCCTGCACACAATAGGTAGACAGGTCTGTGCTGAGTGAGTGAGGTAAAGATGAGGAGCACAGAGGCCAGGATCTAGATGTGGCCACCCCACCCACCCTCGCTGCACAGTGTGCTCATCCCCCAGCCTCCCCGTCGTCCCTTCTCACCTTCATTCCTGCTGCTCTGGCTGCTGATACCACCACTGGGTCCCCAGCACACGGGTGAGGGGCGGGGAGGGAAAGAGACCGGTGAGCAGGAGAAGCCTCCCTACAGAGGCCTGGGAAGCCTCACTAGGGGCTCCTACTCCTGTCCAGACTTTGAAGGTCAGGAGACCGAGCTGACCCGGGAAAGCGGGCGAGGTTGTGCGCTGGGGTTGATGCCAGGGACCCTCTGCAGATGCAAGGCTAAGACCCTCTCTAGGGACCCCCTAACCTGTTCCCTACTCCCTGCCGCCCCCAGAGCCCCTGGGGAAGGGCCGTCCACACCCCCCTTTACTCACCTTTGTCACTGAGCTGCCTGAGCAGGTGTCTGGTCGGCTCTGAGGAGGAACAAACACAGACAGGGTGAGTCAGGCCAGGAACAGCTACCCCTGGACGAGTCCCAAGCTCACAGTACCACCAGCCAGTCCCCAGTTCAAGGTCCACTCCAGCTTGCCCCCAGCAAGCCTGTGTCACTAGGCTACCTAACGGCTTCCCAGCAGGGAGGCAAGGCCTAGGCACTCTTACCCCACTGCTGAGCCCAAGCCCGAAGAACGTGGCCCTGGGCCCTGCATTAGTGTGTCTGCCACAAGGTCCCCAGGGTTCCAGAGCTATGGGGAGGGGTGGGCTCAGTGCCACCCCTTCAGAGCAGCCAGCTGTGTCGCCACCTCAGGCTCCACTGCCTCCCTTTTGAGGAGCACATCCACACCAGCTACACCTACATCCAGCCCCTCACAGCACCCCAGCTGGAAAGCAGATTGCACCCGACTTCCTACCACCCTTATGGCCTGCCATTACCAAGTCTCACTGCCTGCGGGGGAGTGTGGCCCTGGTGACAGGTGATGACCCAGCTCTGGGGACAGGACAGAAAACATCCATTATAGCTGTACACAGCCTTTCTGGAGACAGACTGAGACAGAAGGAGTCAGAAAAGAAGACCTCATGTCAAGGGCCCTTTCTCTAGAGCCCTTAGCCTGTCCCTATCACAGTCCAGCTGGCCTTGAGTAGGAGGCTCAGGGCTGGTTTTGAATGTCTATGAACATGGAGGCAAATGGTCTACCTGTGTCTGAGCCGATTCTTAGCAGGAAGCAGACTGAAGAGCTCCTTCCCTAACATACACACACATATATACTCACGCACACACACAGGGCACACCATACACACAGTCTCTCTGCATCAATATACGCAAACACCTAATTGTTTCTAAAGTGGAAAACAAGATGTTTTAGTCTTTTGTTCTAAAACATGTAATTAAGGATATTTAATAAGTCACAGCTAATCTAAGATGGAACAACAGATCCTGGCAGCCTATGGCATGCTTCTCTGCCCAACACAATTCTCTGAAGGAAGAAGCAGATGAGACCCTGGGCAGGCAGAGCAGACGGCTGAGCCAGGTGCTAAGTTCTCATGTGGCCAGAGCCTCCCTGTCTTTGGCTCCTCTCCTGCTTCCCAAGTGTTACCAACTAATTTCTAACATACAGGAGGAATAAAAGGGACACCAGAGATAAGCACACTAAACTCAGCAGGCGGAACACTGTTCAGTATTGGCAAGAGTTACATGATGGACACACCCTAGATGCAAGCTGTCTCTATGGCAACCCAGCCTCCTCACCCCCACCCTGCCCCACAGCACCTGGCGGCTCACACGGCAGCAGCCATGCTGCGGCCCCAGAAACAGAAAGGTTTGGCCCTGGCCAGCACCCTCTAAGCTGAGCATGAAGCATGTTGCAGAAACATGTCTACCTCACAACAGGTAAAACCAAATCACGGAAAGAAGCCAACAAATCTCAAAAACCCAACTCTAAGCATCTTATAGGCTCAAACCTAACACTCATGTCAAAAATTTCCATAAAACAGCTCATTTCCTGAGTGCCTTAAATGGCTAAATTTTTCAAAACAACTCTACTGAGGTGTAATTCTCTTACAATGCACAGTTCAGCTGGTGGCTTTAAGCATACTCACAGAGTTAAACACCAGAGCTAAAGCACTGGTGCTTATGTCATGGTGTTATCACTGCCACTACCATCACTTGGGCACTTCCATGTGCCAAAAGTGTCCCATGCTAAGCAATGGCAAGTAAAGGGTGAATGGGAAAGAAAAAAGTGAGCTGCAGGTTGATTCGAGGCTTTTGGTTTTTGAGACAGGGTCTCCCTGTGTAGTTCAGGCTGGCCTTGAATTCACTAAGTAGCCTGGGCTGGCCTCAAACTTGTGGCAATCCTTCTGCCTCAGCTTCTCAGACCTGGGATTATAGGCTTCAGTCTGGTGCTTCTAACCATAAAACTTCTGTAACCATGCCAAGTTTGACCAGGGTTTGAAATCTATCTAAAGTAATACCAAAGAACACAAAAACACAAGAGCTGTCTGGAGATCACCTGCCACCACCTTTTTGAAGGTCCAAGTTCAGCCCACATGGTGTTCAAGGGACCTAAAAGACATGGCCCATCAAAAGCCAATGCACTTGTGGGTCCAAGCCAAGACCCAGAGAGAGGATGGTCTCATGCCACCCCGGTGCCCCTGACCTAACCCAGATCAGACCCTGAGCCTTGGGCTGAACGGCAGAGTGAAAACAGATATAGAAAACACACACACTCATTACAGCAGAACTGAGAATAAAGGCAAGGTTCTTTCTTTCTAAATAGACGATTCTTTTCAATAAATCCAAGAAAACATTAGCAAGTCCAGTAATGGAAGAAAACCCAGGGAGGGGGAATGGAACTTTTTCCTGAGACCTAAAGTAAATATTTCCTGTCTGGATCTGGTGCCACTTGTCTAACTCTTTTTCCTTATGTCCTGCTTCTACTCTGCTGGTCCAGAACCCAGGTTGGGGACCATGCATGATGTCCAAGTGTTATTCCTGGCCAATGAGGTGCAGACTCTGTGAGTGCCAAAGAAAGGAGGCTCAGATGGAGGGGGAGCAAGACGAAATGCCAAGGCTCAAACAAACAAGTGCTCCTAGGGCCTTGAACAAGAAGGCCCAGAGGAACATGTGCAGAATGGACACAGCAGATGTCCACTGGCCCTTCCCTGGGTTTATTGGAGAGGGAAAAACAGCAACCCCATGTGATGTCCTAGCAGGCCTACCAGATCCTTTGGAGAAGCTGTGCCCACACTCTCTTACCAGACTGCCGGCGGCCCTGACACATGTGAGTGGACACCTCATCCTGGGATGACCAAGCTTTCTTCAGCCGCTCTGGGCTGCGGCGATACCGATTGGGATCTGCATCCAAGAGACAGCTGATCAGGCTTCTCCTGATTCCCCAGCCTGGCCCCTGCCCATAGTGGCCTGCCCATCCCAGCTCCAGGGCCACATGCCACCAGAGCTCCAGATGTCCTCTGTCTCCTCCCACGAGGGGCTCCAGGCACTGTCCCTCATGTGCAGCTGACCCCTAGCCCTCGATAGAAGGGGCCCACCTGAAACAAGAGTCCCAGGCAAAACCTGCAAGGGACACAGCCTGACCTAGCCATGAGCACAACTAGGGACAAAACAGGTAGAAAAGGGTAACTTACAATAGGAGTCCATTTCCAAGATGGCTTCCTTGGCCTGGGAGGGAAGGAAAGCCACTGAGTTACCACCTTGCCAGATCCTGGGCCTCTCTCACCCACCAGGACACCCCACAGCACCGTGCTGAGGCCTGGCACTGTTGTGCCGATGCTGCCATCACGCCAGACATGTTGTCCCCGCACCCCCTGGGGCACCCCAGGCACCGACCTTCTGAGGAATGGTGGCGTGATGGTTCTCCAGGATGAGCCTCTTGATGTGGTGAGTCCAGGTCCGTTTCTCCTCTGCTGTCTTAGCCTATAAGAGCCCAAGGAAACGGGATCTGAGGTTACAACTCCAGGTCAGAAGCTGCCCCGTACAGGTACTACTTCTGCTGGGGAGAAGAGGTGGAAAGAAGTGCCGTGCTGGGCATCACCTCCCCCAAGACCCCAAGGGGTGCCCAAGATGGAACAGTGGGGCTGTGGGCAGCCAGGTGAGCCCGGGAGCCAGGAACCAATGGCAGGCGTGCCAGAAGCTTGGCCCAGCCCTGCTTCCCCTCACCTGGATGTTGTACTGCTGTTTGTTGTGCTGGTAGTGAGTCACGGTGAAGCAGAGGGAGTCTCTGGTGCTCTCAATCAGCATCAGTGAGGAGCACTGTGGGCAGAGGCAGAGGGTCGTCAGGTAGGGCAGGAGGCCCAGGTCCCCGCAGGGCTCAGAATCAGGATGATGCCAGAGCCCCGGAAAGCAAACAAGAAGCAGAGGAGCCGGGGTCCCTGGAAGGGAGAAGCCAGGGCGGCCTGGTTACCGGGATGTGACCCTTGTAGACAAAGTGATCTCCCCGCTTCTTGGTGATGAGCAGTGTTTTGTCGAAGAGAAAGAAAGTTCTCTCGTTGCGCACACGGTGCACACGGAAGGTGCCCTCCAGGACAAGCTCCCCATAGGTGGTCAGGTCAGGTCCCTTCCAATTGATGAGCAGAGACTGAATCTCCTGCAGGATGAAGGCCCGGCCCAAGGGTGAGGCTTCAAGGGCCCTGAGGCTCCCTACAACTCACCCAGCGGGGCGCCACATTCCCTCTTCCCAGCCCCACCAGGCCCTCCCATCCCTGTCTCCCCAGCCTCCCAGCCCACAGCACCTGGAGCCGGACCGCGTGCTCGTGCCTCCTCTTCATGTCATTGATGTACCAGGCCACACAGGTCATGGTATCAATGGCCTCTTCCACCACCTCAAAGCCATCCTCTTCTTTATCAAAATGTTTGGCAATTTCCTGCTCAGGAGACAGGTGTAAGCAGCTCCGTGACGCCTGGGTCCTCCTCGGACCCCGCGTCCTCCGGAGGTGGCCAGGCCTACCTGGAGGAGCAAGTGGTACTTGAGGATGCGCTGGACTGGCTTCAGCAGGTAGGAGCCCAAGGGTAACGAATGCTGCAGCAGCTCCTGCCGCTCCCGGAAGAACTTGGCCTGCTGCTTGTCCCGCATGCATTCCGTCAGCGTGGCCACCGAGCTGGGAGTGGGGAGAAGGGGGCATCATTGCCTGGAGCAGCCTGCCGAGGAGGAAGGGGATCCAGACTCGCCAAGGGGCTCGGCCTCCCTCCTCTCAGGGGTTCTCATTACTCACTTGGGGTAGTTGTTGCAATACTGGGTGTAGATATCAAACTCCTGGCTCTAAGGAGAGACCAAAAATAGTGACTTCAAGGAGTTTCTTATATGACGGTAAACCTGGGAGGACCAAAGACAGGTCTCGGTCCCCTCCCCCAAGTGCTGACAGAGCGATCTTTGTAGTCATTTGTTTAGGACAGTGGTGGGGAGCCTACAGCATGTGTGGCACAGCGCACTGTTTGTATCATCAAGAGCTCTGAGCTCACCGTCCCTGGTCTAGGGCACCCACCTTCCCAGGAGTCCCTAACCCTATACCAGGACTGCCTTCCATTCAAGGCACTGTGCCCACCCTTTCCCCAGTCCTTTGCCTTAGAGAGGGAGCCCCAGGTTCTATCGGGCATTCCTGTCCCTCTGCATGTCCCGCAAGATGACAAGAAACAAGGACCCAGGCCTGCTTACCCTTTCCACAAAGCAGCTGGCCACAGCCACCGGGTCACTGTTGCAGCTGTCCAGGTCTCTGAGCAGCTGGCTGGGTGGAGAGAAAGGCTATCAGATGTGGCCTCTGCAGCCTCCTGACAGAGATGTGCCACTCAGTGTCCCACTTGCTAAGATGCAGCCCTGCCAGCCCTGCAGTCATGCTAGGAGCCAGGACTTCCACCCTGAATGAGCCCTGCCCTGGGCAGCAACCACAGAAGGGATCCAGCACAGGACAAAGACAGGAGCCAGGGAGCTCCACATGCTCAGCAAGCAAGCGGGACAGGAAGGGGACACTAGTACCCACCTCAGGAGGGGACAGCTCCTCTGTGGGCAGGCGCAAACACATGAAAGCAGAGATTAAAGGTGGAAGAAGAAAAAGGACTAACAAAACAGGTCCAGGTGAGATGAAGGATTCGGAGAGAGATAGACTGAGCTCCAACACCCCTTTAGAGGGGGCCACCGTGGAAAAAGCACTCCCCTGCCTCCTCTATCTGTGTGCCTCTCCCACCCAACCGCCCATCTCCCTGCTTCCTAAACTCCCTCAGCCCCTGTCCATCTCAAGGGGACGCTATTCCCCAGCCAGTGCCCTTCCCTGAGGGTCTGCGGTCCCGCAGCAGCAGACCTGGACAATCCCCGCTAGGCCTTGTTCAGCCTCTCCCATCCATCTTGTCTGCCCTCTGCATTCAACTAACAGGCAGTCACCTCCAGGGAGCCCCATTTTTCTTGGAATCAGTGAGAAAGAGAAGAAATTACAAGATGTGCAGAACAAAAAGACAAAGGCAGAGGGTCTAGTGGTCCCCTGAGAGGGTGCTGTCTTAGGCGGGACCATCAACAAGCACATGTCCTCTAATGATCTCACCTGCCCTTCATCAGCCCCGGGCACATTTTCCCAGTTGCTGTCCTCTCTCCAGCACGGAGCTAATTATGCCTCGTTTAGACAGATCACCCTTCCCAGTCCTCAGAGATCCAGACCCAGACGCACATGTCAAAGGCCAGAATCCCAGGACATCCAGGGCTCCTTCTCAAGCCTCCCTGAGAGGCCCTGGGTAGCAAAACACAGTGAGGGTCACCCCTACGCCCTCACATACCTGTTCAGCGCATAGATGCTCTCTATGTTCCCAAACAGAGCACTGACTTGTTCTGCCTTCAGCAGTCCCGGCGTTTCAATGATCTTCAAGAGGTAGTCCTGTGTGGACAGAGGCACTCGGCACCTGGCTGCTCCCATGTCCTTCTTGTCCCCTAACCTCTTCTAACCACATGTCGACTCTGTCCTGCATTTTACAGCTATGATGCAATTTCACAGGCAGTGCCCACTGTACTGTGTTGGAAAGTGTCCACCCCAAAATTCATGTCCACTTGGCACCTTACTTGCAAATAAGAGCCTTGCAGATATCATTAGTAAGGCTTTTGGAGTTTTATCATATAATAGAGTGAGAGCTAAATCCAATGACTGGTGTTTGCATAAGAGGAGAGGATGTGGAGACACAAGAAAGATAATGGGATGAGATGGGGGCTGTGTAGCCACAGGTCAAGGAATGCCCAGAATTACCAGCAACTCCCAGAATCTAGAGGAGAGGCATGGAAAGCATTCTCCCTTGGGTCTCCAGGCCATCGCCTTGATTTCGGACTCCAGGGAGGATTGATTTCTACTGTTTCAAGCTACCTGACATGTGCTAAGCTGGTACATGCAGAGGGCAGAGGGCTTCTCAGAAGCAGCCACACAACCTCTTTGCCTGTGTTTCCCGAGCAGTATAAAGCCCTACCCCAGAGCCCAGCTCTGGGGGAGACCCGAGGCTCAGGAGGTTATAAGCCACAGCCAGGAAGTGGTAGAGCAGGGACGTGGATATGCCTGTCTGGGATCAGTCCCCACAGACACCCCCGTCATTCTGGGGCCCTCCTGTCCCCATCAGTGATGCTTACACCCCAGGCATCAGCAGGAAGTGTTGCCACCCAAGCTGCCAATGTGGCTTGGTGTCCTGAGGACATAGGAGATGTCACAACCTCCAGGGACAGGAGCCCAAGTTTCCCTACTGCTCCATGGGAGGCGGATGTGCCAGGAAATGCCCTTCCCACACCTCAGCACTCACCTCCACAATGCTGCGCAGATCCTGCACATACATGCGCTCCGTTTCCACGATCTCCCGTACCACTCGGCCCAGGTAGCTGAGCTTGTGATGCACAGTCCCCGCTGTGCGGCCGCTGAGTGGGGAGAGGGGTCCCTTCGCATTCAGCCAGCCGCTGGAATTGTTATTGCTGTTGGGGCCATGCCCGTTCTGGGCTGCAGCCTCAGGACCAGCGGGCTCCTCCATGGTGCTATGGCTGTCACGGGAGGAGCCAGATGAAGAGGTGGTGGATGTCAGGCTTGCTGGCCGCTCCTGGCTGCCATCTTGGTGGAGGGTGGCAGAGACAGGCATCCTGGCATCGCTGCCTGGGGAGGGCACCTCGGGGAGATTCTGGAGCAAAAACAGACAGAAAGTCAACCTCTGAGTCCTCACAGAGTCAGAATGTGGAAAGGAGATTGCCAGAGATGGGAGAGAGCAGAGTGGGAAGGTGTTGTTAGTGGGAACGGAGTGATGGATGGAGCGACAGTGTGAATGCACTTAACATGTTTGAACTGTTCTCTTAAAAATGTTTCAAGATGGTGCAGGGAACAGTGGCACACATGGGCAATCCCAGCACTCAGGCGGCTGAGGCGGCAAGGGCATCCCTATAAGTTCAAAGCCAGTCTGGGCTACATAGTGAGTTCAAAGTCAACCTAGACTACATAGCAAGTCCCAGTCTCCAAAAAAGCAGTTAAGATGGTAAGTTTAAGTTACATCTATTTTATCACAATTAGAAGAAAACTGAATGTGAGGAGGAGGAGGATCATTCCCTCAGACCCAAGAGTACTGCTATGAGTACAGGGTACCCTGGTGACACCCCTTTCTGATCCCAGCAGCCTCACCTCCATTCTTCTGGGAGCAGGAAGAGTGGCCCACCTGTAAGATGAGGATACGTATGGCCCACCCCAAGGCTATGTCCTCAAGGACAAAGTGACCTGATGCCTACAGACCTCTAAGCATAGTGTGCAGCACACAAAATTTCCCAACATCCATGAGTATGGTGATGAGCTGACAGGTGTCAAAAAGCTCATCCCAAGTGCGTGCCCAGCAGGGCCAGGGCTAGGGTCACCATACAGACTGGTAGGCAATCTCCCCAGGGCTACAGCATCTCAGGGCACTGGTGAGCTCACTGTGCATCTGAAACCCTCTGCATACTGATGTTAGGAAGAGGAGAGGATGATTCTCAGAAGACTGAGCCAACTCTGCTACATCCTGGCCCCTGGCACAGGCAGGCCCCTGACGTAGCCAGGCCAGGAAATTCCCCAGAGCTGAGCCAACTCAGAGTTTCTGTGAGCTCTCTCAGCACCTCTGGGTCAGAGCAGGAAACTGTGCCCAGGTAAGAGGCTCACTAGGCCCCAGGCAGACTTCAGAAGGCACAGCTCACCTGGAGCCCAAGGGGGAAGGCACAATGGCCAGAGATTGCATAGGTCATGGCCTTTAGGAAACACAGGACACCTCATGCCCACTGCATAGGACAGGAGTGCACCAGCTCTACTTTCTAGAAAGTTCATTTGAGTGCTATTACCACAGGGGAAAAAGAGTCTGGAAATCCTCATTCCTGCCGACCCACCCAGAACTGACAAGCAGCCACACCACAGACATGGCCTGAGGCCTGAGCCACTACAGGACCTAAGGCTTCACTCCAGAGCCCGTCTACCTCTCCTGCCTCTGCTCTCACCTGAGAGCTAGCACTTCTGGCTTTGGTGAACACTGTCCTCTCTGCCTGGACATTATTTGCTCTCTGCCCTCCTTTTGCTCTAAGTGCAGACCTACAGGTCTCTGATTGCAAACACCCTCCAACCTGGGCCCCTGCCTCGTGCTCCTACAGCCCCCCAGTTTCTCTCTTTAGGCAGCACACACCATGCTGTGTGAAGTCTGAGACCCTCCGCCTTGGACAGGCAGTTACTTAAAGGCTAACAGAGGTCATAAGGGCTGTTGTGCCAAATAACATAGAGAACAAATGGATGCTTCTACTAAGCTAAAATCAGGCATGTCCAAACCTGCTCACCTCTACCACTAACTCAGCCAGAACTTTCTCCAGTCCTGTGTGACTGTGTCTCCACCACAAGCAAGGTGGAGAGGATTACCATGCTGAGTGCGCCCCACATTTAATCAGCTGCCTCTCTCAGGCCAGGCCAGGCAGCGCCATCCATCCCAGCACAGGGAAAGACAACAGCTCATCCACACCTCTGCACTCCCCCTGAGGCCCTGGCCCAGCCCACCTTGGCCAGCACAGCCTTCAAATCAGTTAAGCCCCGAGTCCCTCCTCTCCATCAGTCCCAGCTAGGACAAGAGGGCAGGAACTTGTGGCCTAAGACCTTTCCCAGATTAGCCCTAGGTCAGTCAGCTCCCGTGGGGAGGTTAAATGGGAAGGGCATGAGTCCCAAATGGATTTTGCAGCCAGCAGGTCACAGCCTGAGAGTCACACACACACACACACACACACAGGAACACACATGGGGAGATCTGTCTCTAAAGGTTGCCTCTGGGGCCCCATTCTTCAGGGGTCCTGCTGTTTGAGGTAACTTCAACCCCACTGTGTGAGCCAACTTCAAGCCCTGAAACAAAGGCATCTTTTCTACTTGGAAAAGTTTTCGAGGTAGAACACAGCTACCTGCCTGCAAGTCCAACTTTCATTTCAAAGTTAAATCAGCCTGGGCCACATAGGGAGTTGAAGGCCAGCCTGGACTATATAGTGAGAGCCTATCTCAAAAAAAAAAAAAAAAAAGAAAGGAGAAAGGTTAAAAGTTAAAAGGTCCCCAGACAACATGGTAAATTTCTCAAATGGTAAAAGATGCTCCAGGGATCCACCCATGATTACGAGGGCCTCTCTTCTGGACAGGAGAACTCAGGGCCAAGAAAGAGAGGGTGGAAGGGAAAACAGGGCTGAAGGCCAGCAAAGGAGCTCTGAGTGCAGCCTGTTAGGAGGGACGCCGAAATGATGAAGACACACACTGCCGTGTTTGAATGCTGGTGTGTGCTTGTGTCCGTGTGTCTGTGCTACTACCAAGCAACGTCCCCGGCCCTAAGCTCCTGCTATGTATCAGCAGGTTCTGGCTGCACAGGCCAATCCGAAGCCCTGCTGTGCACACAGCTGGCTGGGCAGGGCAAGCTTCCTTCCTGCTGGACAAGCATCACCTAGTATAAGACACACCTCCGAGCAAGGGGCAGAATTTGGCTCCTCATACTCATCTTGGAAGACTGTGCTGGGCACGGGGTGAGGTAGGCAGCAGCCACCCTTGGCGGGTTCACCCCACCTCACCCCGCAGGAGCCCATAAGGTGTCCACTCCACTCCCATTCCCTGGCCAAGATTGCTTCCCTCTTTCAGCATGAGTCAGTCCGTGAGTCCAGTCGTTATCAGCCTGTGAATCGTCGTCTCTAGAGAACTTGACATCAAGTCTTTTTTTTTTTTTGGAGGCAGGGTTTCGCTGTATGGTTCAGGCTGGCCTAGAACTCACTTTATAGCCCAGGCTGTAGAAGCCCTCCTTAAAGAGGCTCGCAAAGACCTTTTTTTTCCTGATGGGTCTAAGATGTACAGATGTTCACCTATTTTCAGGCTCCAGGCACAGGAGAGGAAGACAGCTCAGTCACACTGGCTCCTTCTCACTCTTTCTCCAACTTTCTCTAAATTTAAATGTAATCTGCAACCTTCCTCCGCCCATCCCTGCTAGGCTCCCTGGCCCCACCCACAGGCCTCAATCTCCCCAGCGGCAGCAGGCAGGCTACAGCAGGCCCCTGGGATTCTGGGCACAGGGGACCAGGCCAAGTCCCACATCCTTCCCCTCCCAGCTATGCCTCAGCACCATGCCCTCAACCTGACCCTGCAGAGAAAAAGACACCCCGCAACATGCCACAGAGACAAAGGGGACAACTACTCCCTCACTCATTGTCCCTTCAGAAAGGGTCTTCCCAAGGGGCACCCATGTGGAGTCTTGGACCTCTCACTTCTGGTGGTCCTGCAGATCCCCAGGAATCAGCCACATCGCTGCCCCCACCACCACCACAGCGGGCCGCAGCGGGAGAGGCAGGGAGGTGACATCATTGTTTCACCTACTGCACTTCACCCCACACGGAAGCGCCACAGCTGTGCAACTGTGAACAGACAGGTAGCGTGGGGGTTCCCCAAAGGCAAGGCTCCAAAGTCCGTCGTGGCACATGGGAAGTCTGTGAGAAACAACAGGAGCAGCCTCCCCCCACCTGACTTCTGTACCTCGGCACTGCTACGTCCCAAACGTCTCAGAAATCAGCACAACCAGAGACCCTCCGAGCTTCCCTGGAACAATCCCCCAACTCCACTTCCAGAAATGGCCTCTGGAAGAGAGCCAGAAGGAAGCCACAGGGAGCAGCCACAACTTTTCCAGACGACAGGGTGGGGAGCAATGTGAGCTTCCACCAAGATCTAATCGGAAGCCTGGACAAACTCAGCCGTGCTCTCCCCGGGCAGCACAGCACGCCCCATGCCCCACGCCACACCCCGTGCCCAACTGTCCCCACAAAAGCCCAGCTCTGCAGGCTCCCTGGGAGGGAAGCCCCCAAGGGTTCTGGCCCTTGTCTCTGGCCCAGCTCATTGCTCCCCGACTGAACCTTCTGGAGACTCAGCACAAGTGACTGTGTCCAGAGCGATCCATTTGTCCTGCAGAGGCTGCACTAACGGTGTGTCAACCCACGATCCGGGGGCCACCTGAACCAGCCCAACTGGCTCATTCATTTTCCTTGAGGAATTTGCTTCCCACAGCCTCAGAGCAGCAGGGGATGGAAAAGGATTGTGGCCACACCCCGGAGTCCTCCCACCTGCATTCCAGGAGGAGGTTGGAGCCTGCACTAGAAGCCCAGAAAACTCCCTTGGCTGTACCTAGAGAAGGAAGGGAAGCCTCCTGGCACCTCTCTTCAGCAGGAGGATGGGTTCTCCACACCCCCAACACTTACTCATGCTGTTTCTCAAACCTGGATTGAGTCCTTAGGGTCTCCACCCCTACAAATTTAGCCAAATCAGTTTGCACAGAAATTTCTCAACCATTTCCAATCCTTCCCAACATATACGTAGGCTAAATACCTACAATGGCTGCAGCCTAACCCTCAGCGCCTTATATGGCAAGGAACTTTAAATGTAATTAAATTAAGGAGTTCTCTTTTCCTGCAGTACTGGGAGTTGAACCCAAGGCCTTCACACTGAGCTATATCCCCAGTCCTTTTTATTTTTATTTTGAGACAGTCTCATTAAATTGCCCAGGCTGGGCTTGAGTTTGTGCACATCCTGCCTCAGTTTCCAAGTGCTGAAATTACATGCACGAGCCACCACACCTGCCTCCAATTAAGGATGAGAAATTACCCTAGAACATCTAGGTGGGCCCAAAGTAATTAAGAAGGCCCCAGCAGGAGTCAGAGTCAGACAGTTTATGTGATGACAAACACAGCCCGACAGAGATCAGAAGATGCTATGCCGCTGCCTTTGGAGATAAAGAAAAGGGGCGATGGGCCAAAGGACAAAGAAACGGATTCCACCCTGGAACACCCAGCCAGCCCTGTGGACCAGGCCTAACTTCAGGCCTCCAGAACTTTAAAATAATAAATACTTATCATGTTAAGCCCCTCCGTTAGTGGAATTTGTTCCAGCAGTAAAAAACTAGTACACATTCTTCTTTGAACTCAAGTGACCCTGGAATCACTTGAAGCCCAGGCCCAAGCTATGCAAGCATTTCTTTTAGACCCGCCATTGAAACCCGGGGGAAAGGCATCACTAGGTGCTCAGTCAGGGCCTGCTGGGAGGACTGCAGGATCCTGCCTGGAACTCCCCTGGCGACGCCCACAATCAGGAGAAAAGTAAACAGTGAGGAGGTCAGGACAAAGCCAGCTCCTTCTCTCTGGACTACAGAGTACCCAGCAGCAAGTCACATTAGTCACCAGCAGCAAGTTTCCGGTGCACCCAGAGGTACCCAGGCCCAGGGACTATTCATTCACCCCAGCAGTACTGTCCCACCTGGTCCCCGCCAAGGGGCGAGTGCAGGCTATAGCTGCCCAGCTATGCCACATACCAAGTGATCAGTCATAAAAGACCAGGAAGGAGGGCAGAGTGCCAAGTTTGAACATGGAACAGCAATGACAAAGTCCCCCTACTAATGTCCCAGGAAAAGCTGCCTACCAGGAAGTTTCAGAAGCAGTTAATAAAGTCAAACGAGGGCAGCTACTATTATGAGAAACGGATGCTGCTCACAGATAAAGCAGGCCAGATTAGCTTCCAACACAGCTTGTCACCTCACAAGGGAAAGATACAAAGTTCCCAAAAGACAGGATAGAAACAGGAAGCCATAAAGACACTGTTACAAGTCACCCCTGGACATGAGACAAAGTCTAAGTTTGCAGGGGCCCTGGCTTTCTCTTCTCTTTCTTTTTTTCTTCATTTGGTGTGCTACTTGTGTGAGGGCACTAAGAAAAGAAAGGGAATCATCCTTGCAGAACTACAGTATCTACCGCTATACCGTGTGAGGCACCGGAGAACACCCACATGAACAGAAGGGCTCCACTAGGTCCTGCCAAGCTCTAGGCGAAGAAGAGAAAACGCATGCACACACAAGGATCTATAGAAGATAAATGCACTCAGTTCATCCTCAGGCATGGGGTCAGGCTGATGTGCTTTAAACTCAGGTCCTCTACTTTCCTGTCTGTGTGGAGCCAGGGACAAGTCACCTGATCTCACTAGGCTTCAAGTTCCTCATTGGCAAAATGTAACAGTGGCACCCTGTCTGGCTTATCTCCAGGATGATGATGATACAAATAAATAACCAGTACAGCCAATCCAGAGTAAGTCCACCAAGAATGATCATGGTGACCTTGGTGACAATGATGGGTAAATCTCTTATTTGTTCCATCAGCACCAGGATAGGAGCTTTTTCTGACTGGTAGCTATTTTTTTCCATCCATATCTTAAATTAGTATAAAGGTACAAGTTTCTGGCACTTGGGAGGTTGAGGCAGGAGGATTACTATGAGTTAGAGGCCAGCCTGGGCTACATAGTAAGATGATGCCTCAACAAACAAAAAACAAATATACATATATTTATGTGTGTGTATATATATATATATATATATATATATGAATATGAATATATCTTGGTAAGCCAGCATAATCCAATCCTCCCTCACCAACCCAGTATTAATCATTCCTCTGCAGTCCCAATATTGGATCAGACCATCCTCATATAAAGGGCAAACACAAAGCAATTCAGCTGGAAAGAAACAGCCTGATAGCCATATTCCACAACAGTGTGCATGAGTCAGAGTCCCACTGTGGTAGGAGGCAGGGCACATTCCTCAGCAAAGACAGCAGTACCACTAGGAGCTCGGACAGGACAGAGCTCTGAAGCATAGGCCTTGAGTACAAACACAGGTAAGGCATTCCATGCAGCAAACGCATAAAGGAGTGACCAAAAATAACATCCTTGACACTGTCTTGGGTTGTAACTCCAGCTTCAGGGTGTACACCGGGGAGAGCCAAGGCATGACACAGAGCAGGAAGAAACGGAGAAGGCCTGGGCCTGGGGTCCACACCCAGGGGTCCACATCCTTGAGTCCCAGGGGATATCAAATAAGGAAAAAGAGAAGTGTGTGTGTGTGTGTGTGTGTGTGTGTGTGTGTGTGTGTGTGCACGAGCTGGGGGCTAGAGCCAACACTCCTCAAAATGTGCCCCAGCTCTGCTCCTGAGGCCTAGATACAGTGCGGTTCGGCAAGTGCTTTGTGCCTCAGTGGCTACTTTCTCATTTGTGGAGAACCCTAGCTGCCCTTGCTACCAATTGTGAGCTTCGGAATTCAGTCTCTCGACAACAAGTATTCATCAAGTAGCTACTCTGCACAAACACACTGTGGTGGCCTTGTGGCAGAGACAATGATGAATCACACAGTTCTACTCCCAAGAGCTCAGATTCTGCTAGGAGTAACAGGATCAGCCCATCTGGAACAAAGGAGGTAGAGAACAGCAGCATGGCGCCCGCAGGGGACTCAGTGCCAGAGGCTCCGCACTCCAGCTCCAGCACCTCAAAACCAAACCAAAACAAAAACACAGGCAGTGTGTCAGGAGAGGTTTGGGAGTTCCCGGCTACTTTCAGTTTCTTTCAACACCAGTGAGCTTGATGCTAGGCCCTGGGGAGACCTGAAATGAATGACACATTGTCTCTGTGTTTGAGGAACTTGAATTCTAGAAGAAAAACCACCATATAAACAATTCACAAAACAAGGGTGCTGGTACAGAAGTGTGAATAAATACACAATGCTAGCCAAAGCAGCAGCCTGTAGCCAGCAGGCGAGGCATCCCTGGAGGAGGAGGCGGTCAGCCAGTCACAATGACAGGTGAGTCTCTGCCAGGTGAGAGGACAATTGAGGGCACCTGATGCCAAGAGAGTGGGGCACATATGAAAGCCAAGTCCTACGGAAAAGTCCCCCCTCCCCCCGACACATACCACTCAAGACCCACCCTCTGGCTGGCAGTTAGGCTGCGGACAGATGAGGAAATCTTCCTGGTTTTGCTTGAGAGGACCAAGACTGGTGGAACAGGGGTCCACGGGACCAGGCACAAGAATGCATCCCTGACAGGTACAAACCGATACGTGGGGCTGTGGCTCCAGGTCCTTCCCTAGAGTCAAGCAGTGTTGGAGAAGAATGTAGAGGTCGGAGGGTGCTGATGGTTTACGGAACATTTGTGGGAGAAATAGCGCCTCAGGAAAGGTGGGTTAGAGGGAGGAATGAGACTAACCCCAACCCCAGGGGAGAAATGACCAAAATAAAGGTGAAAACCTCAAAGTATGCATACATTAGCTGCTTCTAAAAGAGGTAAGGTGCCACTTACTCTATAAAACCCAGATTCCAGGTCTTAGCAGGGGGTCTGAGCCCTATGGGACGCTGCCTCTGGGGTGCCCCCCTGGACTGCGGAAGAGGTGTCAGGGAGTGATCCCTCAGAACACAGCTCCCTTCCCACTTCTGCCCAGAAACGCCCAGATTCAGTGAATTGGCATTTGAGCAGCCCCCTTCCCAGCCACCCTGGCCTTCTCCTCTCAGGTCTCTTCTTCACAGGTACCACCAGGGCAATACCTGAAAGCCTCTTGCAAAGCCCTGGGCTCTGAGTGGGGCCTAACACAAAGAATTCTGGGCACTGGAAACCGTCAGCAGCCCAGCTGCCCCGGGGGTCTGCATCCTAGAGGGTGGAGGTTTTCCCTGAGAGCACCTGCCCCCATCCCCCCACCCCCTCTGCTCCCCAGGGGCCTCCACCAAGGAGCGCCAAGAAACTCATCCAACCAGTTCCCAGTGGAGGAGAGGAGGAGGAGAGATTTGTCCCTGAGCTGAATTCAGACAGGCGCAGCAGCTGCCACCAAACCCCAGATTCTGGGGGATTTGCAGCATGAGAATCACAGTGCCAGAGTCTGCTCCTGGAAAAGTGAGGCCTCTACTCTGGGGTGAAGGAAACAGCCCAAGTCAGGATAACAATCTGCCACCTGGACCTCCCTACACCTGCTGCCCGGAGCTACAGAGATGGTAGGGGCTGGCCCCGTCTGGCTCGGTGTCCATGAGGGTAGGCGACCTGCTCTACCAGCTGCCACTAGATTTGATCCAAAACAACCACCCCCTGTGGATTCTGGGAAAAGGAAAGTTCAGGAAGAAATGGGAAATTAACTCTGCTTTGCCCAGGGAACATGTGAATATCTGTGCTCTGGGTCATCTTCCCCTAAGCATTCCAATCTGAAGATTTAGGAGGCAGAGGCCCTCTGAAGTCCCCTAAAAAGCATTTGCAGTCACCTCCAAAAGGAACAGTTATCACCCAGCTGGAAATGGCCTGAAACAGCAGGAAAGCCCGCTGCTCTCCCACACCTGCACCTGTACAGGCCCTGGGCTTCTGAATGTGGGAGGGGGGCCTGCCTGTGGCCCCAGATCTGTGGCTGGCTGCGGTTCCTGGGGTCAGCAGGCAAGGCTTGGCAGCCTGGGGCTCAGTCCCAGTGACACCCCACCTGTGCCCGCTGGCCTGGTCCCGAGGATTACCTACCGCTTTCCTCAAAAGGGCTCCCATCAAAGCACCTGGAGGGCGATGGCAGGGGGCCAGGGCGCTGCATCCTCCCAGGACAGCCAACCGGCAGCCCAGCAGTTAACAGGCCGAGAGCAGTGCGCTGCCACCAACAGCCTCGGGAATTAAAGCGCCCGCGCCTCTGGCGGGACCTCTTCTGTAAGCGTCCTATTCAGAACCAGTTCTGCGTGTGGGTCATACTTTCTGCATTTCTCTCATTCCTGACTGCTGCTGGGGGCCCAGCAGGGAATGCAGCTTCTCACTACGCTGAGCTGGTGAGGAAGGACCCAGGCCACCATCCCAGGACCTTCACACAGCTAAGCACTTGCAAATATCTCCAGCCATGAAGCACATGGAAATTCAGGAAGTCAAACACTGAAGACTCCTAACAAAGCCTGATCAGTCACCAACACAACAATGCTCCATTTATGTGATACCTCCCCCACCAAGCCCTCAGAGCCCAGGACATTAACCCTTGTGTCCTCCCAACAGCCAGGGCGGGCAGTGGCGTGTGCGGCAGGTGGCCATCAGGAACCATTCCCTGGTTTACAGGTCAGGAAAACTGAGGCACAGACTGCAGTCACCTCAGCCAACATTTGTTGGGGTGCACCAGACACTGTGCTGACACTCTGTGTGAGCACACATCACCCACTCACCGGTGGTCAGGCAGCCTGCGAAACGGGGAGAGACATGGTTTCTGGAACCCAGGGCCCTTGCGGGCTTCACCCCCGAGAACCTATGGGGCCCAAGAGCTAGATGGAGCCAAAGAATGAAAGGGTGCCATCCCCAGCCCTCCTCGTGGGAATGCCCCAAAGCACTTTCGGCCCTTTTACAAGTTCACACTTGGCTCAGAACAAGTTCCTACAGTGCAGGGCAACCTCAGAAGGAAGCTAGAATGGAGCTGCCTGAGAATCTGTGGCTCACCTGTAGATGCCTCTTGGGAAGCCAGAGTGAAGATGGCAGCCCCTCGGGAGGTCCACACACTGTCACCTGGACGGGCATCTGCACAGTGGCTCAGCAGGGGCCATGATGCTACACTGTTGTTTTCTATGGGTGCACTTTAACTTGCACCCCCTGAGGTAAGACCCAGGGCTTTGCACACTCAAAGCCTACAATTCTGGCAGCTGTGTAAACATTATGTCACAAGACTGAAGCCAGGAGGTGGAGGATACATTGTGGGTGCTTCTGATGCTCCAGTGAAGGCATGGATACAATTCTGAGAGCACAAGCACAGACTGTTCACCTCTTCTACCCGCTCACACTTAGCCCAGACTTAGCCGAGACAGAACGGTGGCTGAGAGAACCTCCTTCCTGAAAAGACTACTCAAACTCACTCTTACTTTTTCTATTTGTTTGCTTGTTTGCTTATTGCGGTACTGAGAATTGAACCCAAAGTCTTTGCCCTGAGCTACATCCCAGTCCTTTTTTTAAAATTTTGAGACAGGATCTTGCTATGTTGCCTAGGCTGAGCTCAAAATTGCCATCCTCCTGCCTCAGCCTCCCGCTGTGCTGGGAATACAGATGTGCACCAGCACGTTTTTTGTTTGTTTTTGTTTTTTTGTCTTTTTCATCAGTACTGGGGATCGAACTCACGACTGCCTGCTTTCAAGGCAGGCACTTATGCTGCTGAGCTAAACCCCCAGCCCCTCAGCACGTATTTATTGACCTCCTTAATCATACGCCAGGTACTGGCACACACAGCACTAGGCAAGAAGAATCCCTGTTCTCATAGAATTTATACTTCAGTGGAGAAGAAGGCCACAATGACAGGCAAATTAATACGCTTCTGGTTGTCTGGTTGTTTTTCCTTTGCAGTGGAATCTAACTTGGTCTTGGCACGCCAGGCAAGTGCTCCACTACTATACTGTGTCTCCAGGCCCTAATACATTTCTGGAAAGTGCTAAGTGCTATGCATCCAACAGAACACTGAAAACAGTGTGCCTGGAGCATGGAACTTTGTCAGCTACGGAGGCTGGGAAGCTCTAAGAAGGTAGCCCCTGTGCAGAGACCTGCTTGGTTGAAAGGGGCTGGCCTAGACCTCACCATCACAAGGTGGTCAGAAGATGTAACAAACTGGCACCCAAAGGGCTAAAGATTAAAATCTGAAAAAGACTTTTTAAAACAAGAACATGTTAAAATGAACACATCTGTAATCCCAGCACTTGGGAGAATGAAGCAGGAGGGTCCCCTCTAGTTCAGGGCCAGCCTGGGCTACATAGTGAGACCTTGTCTCAAAAACAAACAGACAAGAAATAGCTGGGTGTGCCTGCCTGTAATCGCAGCACTCTGGGAAGTTGAAGCAGACGGATGAAAATATTGAGCCAAGCTTGGACAATTTAGCAAGACCCTGTCTCAAAGATAAAACAAGTTTTTAAAAGGGCTGAGAATGTAGTTCAGTGAGAAGGCTCTGAGTTCAACCTAGAGTACCACACATGCACACAAATAAAGAACAAAAACAGTATTGGGGGAACAGTTTAAAGAATAAACTCAATGGAAATGAAATATACATTATCATTTAAAACCCAATAGTTAGATTAAATAGAAAAATTAAATACAACTGGAGAATTAGTGAAGTGAAAGATAAACCAAGGAAATTATCCTGAAATCAGTTCAAATATGTAAGACAGAAAATATAATATTATGTAACCAGATGTGGTGGTACACCTGTAGTCCCAGAATTCAGGAGGTGAGACAGGAGGATCGCTGTGAGTTCCAGGTCAGTCTGAGCTACAAAGCTAAGACTTTGTCTCAAATAAATAAATAAGGGGCCACAGATATAGCTCAGTGGCACAGCACCTGACACAGGTGGCACAGCCTGGCAAGTGTGAGGTTGTGAGTTCAATTCCTGGTACAAAAACACAGAACACTCAAATTATCAAATAAATAAAGCAGATTTCAAAGAAATAGTGTGTATGAATTTTCAAGAACTGAGAATAGACATTATCCTCAGGTTGAAGACACATGCCAAGTTAAATTTAAAAGACATCTACATTTAGATATACTGTAATGTAAATGCAGAATATATATATACACACACATCTTAAAAGATTATATGGAAATACCATGAGCATTTATAGCCAATGAATAACAAGGCCACCAATTGATTCAGGAACAGAAAATCTGATGAGACAGATAACAAGAGATTGAATTCGTTTTTCTTTGTTTAGTTTTGGTTTTTTGAGACATATTCTATAGCCCAGGGAGGGCTTGAACTCTGGTGATCCTCCTGCCTCAGCCTTCTGAGTGCTGTGATTACAGGTATATACTACCACACCTGACCTGAAATAGTAATTCTAAAATTTGCAGGTAGGCATGGTGGCATACATCTATTATCCCAGCCCTCAGGAGGCTGATGCAAAGGAACACACACTTCAAGGCCAGCCTAGACTATGTGGTGAGTTCAAGGCCAGCTTGGACTACAGTAAGACAGTCTCAAAAAACCAAGTTAAATCAAATGAAACTTCCAATAAGAAAAAGTCCAGGACTAGATTTACTGGTGACTTTTACCAAACATTTAAAATCAATTCTTCACAATTCATCTAAAACAAAAAAATAGGAGACGCCAAGCAGAAAGCAATCAATTAACCAATCATTCAAAAAGAATGCCTGCTGCAGTGGCACAGGCTTGTATTTCAACTTGGGAGGCTGAAAGACAATCTCAAGTTCAAGGTCAGCCTGGGCAATCTGTCAAGACCTTGTCTCAAAAAATAAAGAAGGCGAAGGTGACGGGTACAGATCAGCAGGCACAGCACCTGCCTGGCAAGCATAAGGTCCTGAGTTTGAATTCTGGAACCAAAAATAAATAAATAATAAAAATAAAGCAGGCTGGAGGATGTAGCTCAGTGGCATGGCACTCTTGCATTTATCTCTAGTATTAAAAAAAAAAAAAGCCACCAATCATCTCAGTAGATCCAGAAGACACATTTAACAAACTCTTAACAGCACTAAGGAAACTAAAACTAGACTACAATATTCCCAACATTATAAACAGCACCTGTAAAATCCACAAGAGTTTGACAAAATTAAAAACTTAGCCAGGCATGGTGGCAGCATGCCTGTAATCCCAGCACTCAGAAGGCTGAGGGGAGGGAGGAAGATCCTGGTTGAACCCAGCTTGAATAATTTAAGTGACATCCTGTCTCAAAATAAAAAGGCTTTCTTTTGTTTTGTTTACAAGACAGGGTCTCACTCCGCAGTTTGGGCTGGTCTTGAACTCACTTTGTAGCCCAGGTCAGCCTTGAACTTGCAGTGATCATCCTGCCTCAGCCTCCCCAGTACTGGGATAACAGCTGTGTGCCATACCTATAAAGTTTTTTTGTTTTTGGGGGGGGGTTGTTTTTTTTTTTTTTAAGGTGGCAAGAAGGTGAAGGGTGAAGCTCAGTGTGAAGGCCGTAGGTTTCATTCTCAGCCCCACATAAATAAGTAAATAAACACACGGGATGCTAGGGATGTAGCTCTTAATTCTAGAGCACCTGCCTAGCATATGTGAAGTCCTGGGTTTTATCCCCAAAACTAGGAGGCAGGGAGATGTAAAAATACAAACCAGAGCTAGGGGTTTAGCTCAGCGGCATAAGTGTCTGCTTGGCAAACACGAGGTCATGAGTTCAATCCCGGCACCAAAAACTAAAATTAGAATTAAAATTTTAAAAAATACAAACTAGAGAGAGAAAATATGTGTAAGTCACATATTCACAATGGACTTATTTGCAAAACATATAAAGAACCCTTACAATTCCACAATAAAGAAAAAAACAGCCTAACTTAAAAGGAGATAAATGATCTGCATAGAAGTTTCTCCAGAGAAGGTACAGAAATGGTCAGTAAGCACATAAAGAGATTCTCACCATCATTACTCATTAGGGAAATGCAAACCAAAACCCATAGTGGACGCTACTGTGGAAATACCAGGATGGCTAAAATCAAGACACGGTGCTAACAGGTATGGGGAGGACTGGTGAAATCAGAAAGCTTAAGCACTCTCGGTGGGAATGCACCATGGTGCAGCCTATTTGGAACAATTCAGCAGTTCTCAGAAAGTTTAAACACAGTCACCATATGACCCACCTAGGTACAGGTATAACAAGAGAACTGAAAACCTACCCACACAAAAATGTGCATGGAAATGTTCACAGCAGCATTATTTGAAAGTAGGGGGAAAAGGCTGTTTATCAGTTTACAATAACCTGATAAGCTTCCTACAGACGTTCCAGGGACCAAGGGAACTTCAGATTAGTCAGTCATGTTCTGTTTCTTTGCTGACTGTTGCAGCAATGATGCTGTGAGGCCAAATGTGCAGCAGGAGCACCCTGTAATCCTAGCATTTGGGAGGCTGAAGCAAGAGGATCCCCATGAGTTCAAGGCCAGCCTGGGCT